ATGAGCTGGTCAGGACTGTCAGACAGAACAAGCTTTTCAAAAACAACACTTCCATTCACTTTAAACCTACAAAACAGCTCCAGTGACAGGGCCATTTTTTTTTCCCGAGGACAGCTGGGAAGGGGTTTGAGAGGGGAGGCAGAGAAGCAGGAGGAAGAGGGAGATAGGTAAAGGAGGAAAAGGCAGGAGAGCGGGAGGCTCAGAAAGCAGGTAGACAGAGGAGAACAGAAAGCAAAATGGGACAGACCTAATCCCGCAGTACAGCTGTTCATCAGCCCTGCACACTGGCTCAGAATCTGGAGACAGATCCTACAGAGTAAATATATGGGCAACACATCTCGGAGAACAGGATGATGATGATGATGATGATGATGATGATGATGATGATGATGATGCCAAGCACTCACTGTATTCCCAGTCTGGTGGTATAAGTTCTATATAAGCACGACCTCATTTCATTCTCCTAACAACCCTATAAATAGAGCTAGAAGCAGTGGCACAGAGCTATAATCCCAACACTCTGGAAAGCTGAGGCAGGAAGATCGAAAGTTCAAGCCTACTCGAGGCAATTTAGCAATTTAGCGAGACCCTTTTTCAAAACAAACCAAAATAAGGCCTGGGGATGTAACTCAGTGCAAAGGTTCTAAATTCAATCTCCACTACTACCACTACCACTACTACTACTACTACCACTATTACTACTACTTCTACTACCACTACAACTACCATTACTACTACTAATAATAATAAATAGATTTCATCAATTCTAAGATGTACACTTTCTTTTGCTCATTTTAATATCCCTCTAACTGAAAGGCTTTTTACGATCATTGGCTAACAGCAAGCAGTATTGATGTTATTGTCATACCTGGGAATCCACATCAAAATCTGCAGAATGGGTATTTGCACCTTAATATCTGAGGACAAAAGAAAAGTGTTTTTTTTTTTTAAATGCTACCACAGATGTTTGCAATGTGACAAAAGATGATAGTGTGGGGCCGGGGATTTAGCTCAGCAGCACTGCACCTGCCTCCCAAGCGCAAGGTCCTGAGTTCAATTCCCCGTACCAAAAAAAAAAAAAGATGATAGTATTTTTTTTTCTTTCCCCCAGAACCAAACTCAGGATCTTGCGCTTAAGAGGCAGGCACAGTGCCACTGAGCTCTAAATCCCCAGCCCTCATGATAGTGTGTTTTAAAAATGAGATAGAAAATGCTGAGTTAGTCTCTGAATATGAAGAACTTTTAGGAATACCTTCAGCAAATTATTTCACTTACATTTCCCTTTGTATGTATAAACAAAGGCCTTATGATAAAAATCTATGTCTAAATTAACCCAACAGTTCGTTCCAAATGCATAAAATTAATATTCTAAGTGAGAAAAAGTATTATAGCATAGTTTCATTGGCAATAGTTCTATTGTTTGTGTTTCATAAAATAAGGGTGCAACATGCAAACACTGTAAGTCCATCTTATAGATGAGCAAACTGAGGCACACTTATTCCTTGCTCAAAGCCACAAAAAAGTCAAAACACCAAGTCTTTCTAATTCCAGAGCTTATGTTCTCAGCCATTGTTGTCATTCTTGTCTGACATCTCTGGAGCCAGACCAATATAGCTTCGAATGCCAGCTTTGCCACTTCCTGACTTTGTGATCCAGGAGAACAACTTCTAGTCTCGGAGCTGATAGAGAGGAGATGTTAATGAAGCCTGCTTCTCAAAGTTATGAGCAAGAAAACCTATATGTGAAAAAGTTCAACCCAGGGCCAGATCCCAAGAAGGTATCCAGGATGTGGGAGTCAAACGAAGGCTGCACCACAGGCTCACAGCACATCAGAGAAGCACCCCTGGCCCCACTCTGCAGAGGCTGACAAAAGACTTGGATGGCCCTGGGAGCTCAGCTCTCACGCCAGAACAGTGAGCATCTGTAGAAGATACTTTCAGTCCTGTCTCAGGACAACCAGTTTATTTATACTTCCTAGTGCCTGCAAGATGCTCAAACTTCCTTCATATTAACAAATCAGCAGCCATGGTGACCACGGTTAGTGTATTCAGCTCTTATTGCTGCCAATGTCTATTGAGGATCCACACTGCTCTTGGCTGGGCCAGCACTGTCCCGAGGCCTTGACACATACTTTAGCCTCACCACAACCCCAGAAATAGGTATGTCACGGGGTGAGGGTGGGGGGATCTGGAAGGAACACACAAGGTTCCCATAGGTGACCTGCACCCACCCAGAGAACAAATTAATCGAGTTTAATTTGGCATTCTGGTGGGTTCACTGATTCACCTGCTATAGTGCTGAGACTTAAACTGACTTTTAAAAGGCATAAAGGATGTCTTCTCCCTCCCCACCCCTAAATAAAACATGCTAACTGTAGAAAATTTGCAAAATATTAATAACAATAAGACGCAACCACACATAATCCCAATACACAGAGCACATCTCGGTTGTGGATTGGACATGGTTTAAATGTGTCCCCCCAAAATTCCTGTACTTGAAGCTTGGTCCTTGATGTAGTGATGAGGAGGATGTGGAACTTTTAAGAAACAGGACCTAGTTGGAGTGCCCTTAGAGGAGACTGAGCAATCCCAGTCTCGCCATGTCTTCCTGTTTGGAGGTGTGGTCTCCTCCTGGAGCTTACACTTCTGCCATTGTGATGCTACCAGCCATGAAGTTCTCACCAGATCTGAGCGGATGCCAGCACCACGCCTTTGCACCTCCATAACTATGAACTGAATAAGCCTCTTTTCTTCATAAATTTAGTCTGCCTCCAGTGTTTTGTTATAACAGAAAATAGACTCAACAACCCTGTCACTCACATTTTTGTTTCCCTCCATACCTTTTACACAGTTGATATTATACAGGCAATTTTATATCCTACTTTTTTCACTTAGCATAAGCATTTCCCCACATTATTAGAACCTCTTTGACAGCTTCATTTTTACTGTTATCAACATCATTAAGTGAGTGGGCCATAATGTACTTAACCATTCCCATAAATATAGGACAGAGCAATTTCCAATGCCCTAGTGGAGACCTGTATGCATACAGCTTTGCCTTCAGTCTTGTTTCCTTGGGATAATTTATTTACAATAGCATTACTGAATAAAATAACTTGTACATTTTTAAGACTCCTGCTAGTTGTTGTCAAATTGCAATATATATTTAAGAATATCTGTTTCAATCCATCCTTCCCGACATCGAATATGAACATTTTTAATTCTCTGTTAATTTGGTAATAGTAATTTTTGATTGTTTTAAATTAACTTATCTTTGTTACTTATAAACATGAACTATTTTTTTCCAACCTTATTGTATGATTATATACGTGGATTTGCAGAACCATACCAGTATAGTTCAAAGGCCCTGCTAACTCAGACTGCCTGGTTTTAAACCCTGGCTCCCCACTTATGACATGTGTGATCTGGGGATGATTATTTACCTTCTCAAAGCCTTACTTTTCCTCATCTTTTAATAGGGATGAGGCTACTAACCTCAAAAAAAAAAAACTCATGGGGTTTTTGAAAAAAGTGTAAGAGATCTCAGGTAAATTACATCAGCATATAGTATGTGTTTGATAAATATCAGCTACCTACATTTCTTCCCTTGTAAACTCTTTTCCATGCACTTACTTTGTTTTTTTGTTGACAATTTAACCACTTTCTTATCAATTTAAAAGAGCTCTTTTTGCATGAAAGTCATTAGCTTTTTATCACATGCTGTGGATATTTTTTAATTGGCTTTTTATAAAAACTACATTCTTCTTCCTTGATGGTGTCTTATGAAATTATTTTAGGACCATCCACATCTGGTAAGGGTGCAGGGAGGTGCTGTGTCTATTAGGTGAAGAGTCAGAAAAAGGAAGGGGTTTTCATTTCCCATGGTGCACCTCAGAATATATGGCCTCCATTCACAATGCTGCATTTTAATAGATGAGTTAGGAATAGATGGGATTTACTGTACCCACAAGATGAAGCCCATGTAGAATGTTGCCAGGGCTTTGACACATTGATGCCTAAATACTGCATGTGGCTTTCCTGTTGGGGAGGAAATCAGGGAGTCTTCCGAGCTCACTCTATCTCCATTCCAAAGCTGTCCTCATATTCTCAGGATATTTTGGTAAACAAACAAAAACCTTCTTTTCCAGGATCTCTATTTGTACTTTACCACTTCTGTATACTCAGTATTTTTCTGTCAGCAAGGGTTCCAAGGAGTGAGAAAGCCTCCGGTTTTGTTTCCATTTTTTATGTCTATTAAAAATAAACATGCTGGGAAGCTGCCTCGTCGTCTCTTTATCAAGCCCCAATGACATGTGGCCCTTGTCAAATCAGCATTTGACGAAAGCAACCAGCACAATTTGCAAGGCCTCGGGAAGAAACTTAGTTAAGGATAGATTTTCCTTCATAGATCAAAATGGGTTTTAACCAGAGGATGGCGAGTCAGAGGTCCCTCAACTCCACTGAGGCATATAAGCAAGCAGGACGCTGTCCCTGGCTCACCCGCCTGGGCTCATCTCAGAGGACATTTGGCAGGCTCTTTTGCTAGGAAAACCGAGAAGCCCATCTCTTTCCAGATCCGCATAAATGGGGCACATTTCATGCTGAGTCAATTTCATCAATACTTTTCTTGCTTTGGAAACTCGGGAATTTAGAGAGAGCAAAGCCACGCTACACAGTAAAGAAAGCTTTAAATTCTAATGAGCTCCTCTGCTCTAATTAGTAACTTTGCTAACTGGAAGCGTTCTTTGTTAGAAAACACACCCTTGGCTTGGAGTGACAAAAAAGGCCAGCGTTTCCTTTTCCAAATGTACCTCCTTTCATCTTTTATCATCGAGCCAGAAAGACGACTTTGTTCCACTTGTCGTGTTAGAATTACAGGTTTTTATTTATTTTTATTATTGTTGTTGTCTTTAAGTAACTAGCGTTGCATTTTGCCTTATAAAAACAGGAAAGTGCAAGAGATCAATTTCTCCTAAATCCTACCTGTCACCCGCCCTGCAGGAAACGGAGCTCTGGAGGGTAAACACAGCTTCTTCTGGAAGAGATACGACAGCGTGCCCCCTTCCGCCCCCTCCCATTTCACGGTGAGATTTGGTAATTTGCAAATCAAGCAGCCATCATTATTTTCCAAGGAGCAAGCAGGGTCTTCGCTCCTAGCTAGGAGAGTGTGGCCCAATCATTTGTCTCTGCAACGCACAAATTCTAGAGCACTTGAGAATTTGTAGCCATAAAGCTGATTACTAAGAGGAATGGTTATAAAGAAAAATCTTTTTAATCTGAGGAGGAGGGGAGGGGAACATGAAGGGCAGGAAGGAAAAGATCCACAGAGCTCACTATGAATAGGAGCTTTTTGTGAATCAGAATTAGAACCTGGATATATAAGTGGAATTTCTCTCCCTCTCACGTTTCTGCCTTGTTATCATTCCCGTCCACCTGGGTCTCTGTCACTAACTCTGTCTCTACTCCTCTGTCCTTCCTGAGTACTTGATGAAGATACCCTACGTAGAAATAATTGCATCCAGACCCCTGAGTCCCACTTAAAAGTCTTTGGGACTGATCAAGATAAATCCCATCAGGCTTTTGTTTCCACTCAAAGAGCCCCTGTCATTTATTAGACGAATTAAAGTATCAATTTCTGTTTAAACATTAACAGGGTGATGCCAAATATTAGTCAGTTCCTAATAATTTTGAGGGATTAAAAAGATAATAAAAGTAATAGTCCATTACATTACCTACTTCAGCAAGACTGTAATGAATGTAATAAATTCTGAATCAGGGTTATAACAACTTCCATCTATTTAAAATGAATTTGTAGGGTTACTTTCATTAACTATGTATATGGGGAAAATGATCTGACATATTACTTTAAAAGAGCTGTAAAACCGATTTGGAGAAAATATGCTTTCCAGACAGGGATGCCGGCCACAGGAGACAACTGCATGTCTCAGAAGAGGGGTGCGATCCACAGAGACAGCCGGATTGTGTCTTTCCGGCACTGTCTGCTCCGTACTCTGCAAAAATCATGGTGGGATCAGTGACAGTGAATGAGGGTGAAAGGACCTGCTTTCTCACTTTTTCTTTTTCTTTTTCTTCCCCAGGTATATTCCCACTAATGAACCAAGGCTGGCTGTGGGAACTCCTGCAAGGAAATCAACCCTAGGTCTACAGCCCAGCCTGGCCTTTGGGGGCCCCAGGGAAAGCTGCCATATTAAAGGGGCCCATGCCCTCATTGCTAGAGGAGACAAGGGAGCGAGCACTTGACTGCACCACAGAAATTACTGCTGTACCTCGAATGCCCGCTTCATTTATCAATTTCATAGCAGAAAAACCCATATGACTGCCTTGTTCAGTCGCACGCTAAATCTAGTCACAGAAAGCTCCCCACTGCCGGTCAAGTGTGTTATGCAGGGGCCTGGAAAAAGTAACTTGAAATACCACTAATGATTTATACTTAATTGAACCTCTAAGTGATTAAAGTGGCAGTAATGAATGAATAACACCCTCTTCATTCCCTGGCAGCCTGGGCCCAGCCTCTCCAGCCGGAGCTGCCCATGCCTTGGGAAAGTCAGCGAAGACAGCCAGCTGAAGCCATTCTCTCGGCTCCCCCAAGCTGCCCATCTGGGTCCTGGCTAAATTGCTCTCACTTGCAGTAAATGACTCCATAAGCACCGAATCAGACCATTGATCCTTTTTATTAGATTACCCAATTGTAAGGTTAATGCATTTGCATTTGGCAAACGGAGGGAGTTGGTCAGCCTGAATCCCACACGGGGATGGGTGTTTAAATGGACACATGCGGAGAGCAGCTCTGTCAACATATTGATTTGTTGGCAGCAGAAACCAGATCTGATGTCCTTCCTACTCCTATTCCCCCACAGCCCCCAGAGAAACTGCTGTGAAACGTGCCTCCAGGGGTGTGTCCTCAGTAGGGGCCAAAGCTGTTTCCCCACTCCCATGCTTGCTTTTCTGGAAGGAGGAAGAATACTGCAAAGATTTTCAGTCATCTCCAACAGGGACAAAGGTGGACAGTTCACCTTGGACCAGGAGGCTCGCTGCCTTCTCTGAATAAGGGAGGGCTAGGCTTAAATCAGTGGCAAGGGCACAAGATCCAGAAACCAAAAATTTTTCTTTTCTGACAGTCACAGAATCAGACCTAGGCCTCTACACCTGATATAAATTTATTCTTAAATTCTCTAAATGCATTAACCAAATGCTATTTATGTGGCCAACTGTCTTAGGATTTGCTACTAAGGAAATTCACAAGTCACAAAAACATTTTGTTGCTCTAACATGAGTTCTACATTGGACAATATAGTCATTTGGGAGGGATTAGAAGTTACTCAGAGAAATCACCCTCAGAAAACCATGTCCTCTTATAGATGGGGAAACTGAGGCTTGGCAAGAGAACGAGCAGGGTACAGAGATGCATGCTTGTAATCCCAGCACTGAGGGAGGTGGAGGCAGGAGTTTTTCCTGGGCAACTTAGTGAGACTCTGTCTCAAAATAAAAAACAAAAAGGGCTATGGATGAGCACACCTAGGTTCTCTTCCCAGTAGCACAAGAAGAGAGAGAGAGAGACAGAGAGACAGAGACAGAGAGAGAGAATGTGAAGAGAACTTACCAGAATCTCCCAGTGAGTTCACAGAAAATCTCCCCAGACTTCCTTCTAAATCAGCCTGGTGTTTCATCCTCAGGTGACAAGGCAGTACTCCTAGCAGAGGTGGCTTTGAGGCTGTGACAGCAAAGGAATAGTCTTTTTATACAAATGTCCTAAGACACAAGCCATATTTCATATTCAGCTGCATAAACTAGGTCTTTGTCTAAATTGTTCTGTGGAGTAAGCTTCGCTGTAAGTACTGCTTACAGGATGGATTTGTTCAGCCTCTTGCCTCCGAGGACAAGGAACCAGTTTCATCATTTCAACTCAGTTCCTCTTTACTGTTGTTCACTCTCCAAAGGTGGCCAGGAGGCTGGGGAGCAGTCCAGCATGTGAAAGTCACTTAGGGAGTGTGGTATGTTTTTGAACCTCACCTTCTTCAGTTGTGATACATTCTTCCTGAAATGTCTTGAGATTGAATGGGTTAATATGTATGAAAATGACCAGCATGGCTGTGACCCTTATTCATGTAGGTTTCTTATCCAGGGGTTCTCTCCCTCCCTCTTTTGTAGGAGAAGGGTGGTCACTTGGGCCTTGCAGGTAATAACTGACTGGTGTCACATAGCCTAAGAGAGTGCACTCCCATGAAAAGAGCTGCTTCCTTACCCAGCACTCTTCCGCTTTACAAAAGAGGCCCCAGGACCCTGCCTAGCCTCTTGCCTCCATCCTCTGTTGGAGAACAGAGGCTGAGCTACCTTCGAAGCTACACTCTGAGTGTCAGAGGGGCCTAAGAGGCCAGGGGGATGGGGGAATGCAATTGCCATAATGCCACTCTTATTCACCAATATTTTTAGAGCACCCTGTCCTTTAAGTTCTTTTTCACATGTGCTTAGCCTCATATAATCCTCCCAACGACCCTATAAAGTTAACATGGCTATGCCCACATTACAGAAGCACAAACTGAGGCTTATCAAGGCCAAGTGACTGTCCAAAGTAACACGGCTGGGAAGAGGCCAAGCTGGGGTTTAAACGCAAACCCTGAGGCCCCAGGATCTGTCTCTACACTTCCTGCCAGGACTCATAGTATCTGTGTGGCAAGGGACAAGCCAAAGTTCAGCAGGGACCCTGGGCTCTCCTTTTCCTTTCAGCCTGCTTGTCCATGGGCCCAACAGCCTCCAGGACAGGCAAGGGATGGGAAGGCATCTATCTGCAGGAAGCAGAGCATCAGGGTGAAGAGGAAGAACCACTGAGTGAGCAAGAGTTGACCTTGGGGCCATTGAGAAAGTGTTGAGGTGGCAAGATGTGGTGTGACAGAGCCTGGGGCCCTCAGGAGGGACTTCTATCTGATTGGGAGTATCACTCAGGCGGGCAGATTCTTCCTAGAGATAGTCTCAGATGGGCTGTCTGAGGGGAAAGGGGCCCCAGCTGGAGGAGACGTTTGTCTAGAAAGGAGTTCCCAGGGCTGGAGATTGGCACCCAACAAGCTTCCAGCCTGAGCAAGGCAAGTTTCTAAGAGCCATGGGTTGCCTGTGGCCTGCAGTCTAGAGAGGACACACAGAAGACCCGGGGCTGGGGAGGCACGTGTCTTGGAAGAAGTCGTATTCTTAAATACCAACAGACTTTTCTTTAAGTATCTGTGAGTGCCACTTGGGTCGGTGTCTCTGTGTGTGATTGTGTCTCTGTGAGGATGACCATGGCTGGGCATGTGTTACATCTGTAGATAAGTGACAGCATCCTGCCTCCATGAAGGGACTTGTGCCCAAATTAAGCTGCTGTGAGGGAATACAGGGCAACAGTCTGTCCCATCAGCATGGGTGTGATCATTCAGCTAAATAGGTAGTATGAGACCAAACAGGGAGAGCCTGCTTTGTCTTGGAGAGTCAGGGAGGGCTGCCTGGAACAGGGAGTGTTTGCTAAATGGATCTTTCTTTCTGTGTCTCTAATGGGACAGGACCAAACCAGAATTTGTGGAAACTCTCATTAGCCAGTTTTAGCTGGTCTGTCACCCAGAGCAGTTGAAGATAGACCCATAGTGTGCTGAGCTAAGGCAATTAACAGTCTGCTGCCCTGAAATGCAAACCTGAGCTCCCCACTAAGCTTTGAGCTCATATAAGGAGATGAAAGGAACATTTCCAGCTCTTGGTCTCGGGCTCCCCCTGCCCACACTGGCCTGGCTTTTCATGGACAGACCCCTCTCCACAGCTGGGGATTTCCCCTGCAACTACCACTAGAGAATGCAGCAGAGCTTGGCTCTATACCTCTGTCTGGAGGCTGGGCTGCCTAAATCCCACTTCAAGCACATCTCTCATAGCTGTGTTGATTTGAGACAAGCCTCTACAACCCCTGGAGCCTCAGTTTCCCCATCTGTCATATGAGAACATTGTTTTCCCCTACCTCAGTTATGCATGTGGAGACCAGAGAGCTGACTCTTAGAAGCTGTGCTGCCTCAAGCAAATCACTAAGCCAGTGTTCTCAGTCTGAAATCCAGTCTGTTCATCTGTAAAACGAGGATGATAACAGCAAATGAGATGATGGAGAGGAAAGCTCTTCCAACTTTAAGAAATAGAGAGCAGTAAAGAGCAGTCACCTATGAGATGGAGGGGCTCAGCCAGATTCTCAGTTCTCGGCCCATCGACTTCCTCTGCTGGGCTGTTCTCAGAGGACCTAGGCCCCTGGTTTTGGCTTCAGGGGGCCAGGAAAACCAAGCAGGAGGCCCAAGACTGAAAGGATAGAAAGGCCCAGGGACAGAGTCTGCCGGTCAGAAGGCACTGGCCCATGGCTCCCTGGAGTGGTGCAGCAATGATTCAGGAAAAGGCTGACAAGGATATTAGCAGTGTGGGTTTTTTTAAAATCCTGAGCCCAGAGAAAATGCACGGTCAGGAATAAAGGCGCCCAAGAGAGCAAGGAGAAAGAGAAATAATCAGAATTAGCCAGCGGGCAGGCGGGCAGCAGGAACAGGGGCAACACAGCCCCACACAGGGCCAAAAGCCTCTCCAGGATCCCAGAAGTGCCCAGAGAGTAGGCAGGCCTGGAAAGGTACATAAGCAAACTTTGGCTGACTGGAGCTCAGGCAAACAGGCAGAATGGAGGATGAAAAAGAAGCCATCACCAGGTGAGTCCATAGGTATGTTGTGTACCCTTTGGGACCCTTCCCACCACAAGGCAGTGGAAAGGTCCACCAGAGGGCTTGAGTTCCCCACTGCCATTGTCCACAGGAGTCTGGATGTGGGCACTGGTGCTGAGGGACAGCCAAGAGGCTGCTCAGATACTGCAGAAAGCCTGCAGAGGGTTCCACAGGCAGGAAGCCTCCACACCAACCCCCCTTCATGCTGAAATGAGACAAAGGTGACAGTGATCCTGGCCCAGGAAGTGGACCGGAGCTCTTTTCCTGGCAGTTGGACAGAGTGTACCAAGAGGTGTCCTAGAGGTGGTCCACAGGTTTGCTGTTAAGAGCAGAAAGGAATGGATTTTGATGAGCTGAGACAGAGAAATCCATTTATAGGTGCAGGGGAACTGATATGGTTCCTAACTGAAGCCTGCTTTTTAGAAATCATTTATTCCATCAGATTGCTTT